GGAATCTCAGGTACTGTTTTAGAGTAGCATTATATTTTCGGATAATTTCGGAAACATGATTATTCCAAGACAGGCATTGATCGAAAATCACTCCGATATTTCTGACAGAAGCATGGAAACGAATAGGTACTCCATTGAGGTATAGTAGGGGATAGTATGAAATGGAATTAATAAGATGCTTAGAACCAATGGCTTTAGTCTTCTCAACGTCTTCAATTTTAAATCATTATTCCCTGCAAAGTAGTAACACTGTTTATATCTTCTTGTAGTCTTCGGATCACCTCAAGCATCTCAGTAGGATAAAAGAAAAGGTAGATTTGGAGATCGTCAGCTTATAAGTAGTTGTGAATGATGGATGGAATTGGAAAAGTCGTTGACGTATATGGAGATAAGAGTTGGAGAGAGCAAAGATCCCTGAGGAACACAATGAGTTTGTGAGAGGGGGAAGGAAGGAATTTTATTGTGTATGACTGTTTGGGATTTGTGAAACAAGAAGAAGAGGAATCACATTAGGACGCTATTTGATATGAAAAGGTTTTGGAGTTTGGAAAGGAGGATTTCATGATTAACGGAATTGAACGCTTTTGAAAAGTCAAAGAGGATCAGGATGGAGATTTTTTATCTGTATATGGAGAGATGAAGGTCTTGGGTGATTTTCAACAAAGCAGATTTGGTGGAGAATAGGAATTGGAAACCAGACTGGAGGGGGTTGAGAACAGCTTTTTGCTGAAGGAAGAAATTAAGCTGTGAATGGACTTTAAGGTATTAAGGTAATAAGCTGTGAATGGTCCATAAGCTAGTCTTTCGAGAGGTTTTAAAAGGTTGGACAGGTATTTTTAGATTATATTCCTGAAATTATTAACCTTTTATTTAAATGTCCTTGTCAACTGTTAACTTATCTTTTTCCAAACTTTAATGTTTAATTTTAAGGGTTCTTGTACTTTTTAATGTTTACACTACATTCTTTAACTTCGCCTCTATTAATATTAATTTTTACTAGTTAAAAATGTATTTTTTAGCTTTTATTCTTAACATCATTAATCTTTATTTTTATTGTCTCTGTTATCTTACCTTCTATTAAATCTTTAACTTTCAATATTTATAATTTTAGTTCAACTGTACTATCATAATCATCTGTAATTATTCTAAACTTTTCAAACTTTAAATTGTATTTCATAGCTATAGTTGAGTTATGTGTGTGGTAATTCATCAAATTGTTATATAGGGCGAAAATGACCCAAGTGGTTAAAGAGCCCAAAATATGTATAAATAAATAAATACAAAAATAGGACTTGCTTTTACAAGTCTTAAAGCGAAAAAAAAAATAAAATAAAATAAAAAATAAATAAATAAAAGGTTGGAGAGAGTGGAGATGGGTCTGAAATCGGAAACTTTGCTCAACGGGCAAGCTATAACTTTTTTTCCAAGCTGATGGAAAACAGGAATTTTGTGAGAAAAAATTGTAGATATGCAGTAGGAGAGAAAAGATGACAGGGAGTCATAGGATGACTAATTTCACTGGGATTAGATTCCGGCCAGAGTCATTCATTCTGGATTTGAGGACAAAGGAAGTAGGTCTTCTGGTGAGATATTTGTGAAATGAAAATTTGTAGGGTCAAAGGATCTTGAAATATAATCCTCAAATATTGGAATTGGTGGGGTTATTCTATTTTCTTTGGTCGATTAAAAATGTTTATTTTGAGATAAAGTAAACCAAAATTCATTTTCAATTTTTTTAAACAAAAAGATCCAAAAATTATCAATAATGGTGGATAACACAGCAATGCAAAATGAATCAATATTTTATAAAGTGCCAAGTAGCAAGGATGACCACAAGATGGTGTCATGATGCAAGATGCGACGCTATCTAAACTTTTGAGGGGCCATATTTTGAAAGGGTTTTGAATATTTAAGGAGAAGAGGAACATTTTTACAGGATTATGAATTTTGGAAAGATAAGTTTCAAAGATGGAGATTGAGCTATGGGGCTCCACTAAACCATCGAATTCCTCTCGCATCCAATCCTTACAATCCAAAATCCTTCGTAAAATCCTCAATGCTCCTTACTTTGTCACTAATAAAATTATCCATAAAGATCTTAATGTTCCTTATGTTTCAGATCTGGCCCAATCCAGATACCTATCCTTCCATAATAAACTTCAGAATCATCCCAACCCTCTCGTTTCTAACCTTGCTTCCTCTTCAATTCTTGATAACCCTCCGAGGCGTCTGAAAAGAAGATGGCCCCGTGATCTCCTAATGTAGTCATATCATTAGAGTGTTACCATTGGGTAGTTACTCAGCAAGTGTATTCATGTCATTATATCAATTATGTCCAAATTTACTTGATGTATTTATGTAATACAGTTGTAAATGTCATAAAGAAATAAAAAAAAAAAAAAAAAAAAAGATGGAGACAAGGAGAAAACATATAATATATGTAATTTTTTATAACATATAATATATGTAATTTTTTATAACATATAATATATGTAATTTTTTATTTTTTATTTATGTAAGTTTTACGATCTACTAACCCAAACTTACGTCTTGCATTCAAATATATGTAATTGTATTTGACCTATAATTTTTCTAATTCTACTTTCTTGCACTGTTTTTAGAAAGAGGTGAGCAATAAAATAACATGAAAGGGGAGGATTCAAGTGCAATTGAGGACACATGAATACTTCACAATATCTATTGGATTCATACAAAAGAACAAATCCAAACCACAAAAAGATAAGAAACAAAAAAGTAATGTTTTAATTGTTAATTTCAGCTGTTTCACACATAAAATTTCAATATATACTACACAACCTCACTCAGTTATTTCAACTTTATAAGAGTTTAAAATCAAATTAAAACTATCTAATTCATTTATAACGACCAGCTTATTGTAATTTATAGCATATTTCAACCTCAAAACGTTTCAGAAACATATATTTAACAAATTGTGGGCTTATTCCAAAATGTCTTTATAATATTGAATCTTTAAGTACTTCATTTTTTTGTTTCTATAAAATCAAAACATTATGTTAATTAAGTCTAATTATTGTTAATGACTTCGAGGGTATTTATCATTTTGATGCACTTACTCTACTCTGTTTTGTTAACAACTTGGGTTGAATTTGAAAACAAGCCTGATCTTGAATTATGTAAAAAAAAATTTATTTTAGGTTACAAAGTGTTTTTCATTGTGGCAGCTCATGAACATTTCATAAGAAATGTTCAATAAACAATTCATAAATTGCTGTTATAAATAAAATAATTTTAACTTAAAAATATTTTCATCAGAAAATAAACGCTGAAATCGAAATTACTTTTGTTTCCAAAGACTCTTTGTCATTCATTTTAATTTTATATAAGTTTAGGTTTTAATATATGCATAGTATTAATGCATCCACAGTATAATAATTAATAATAATTTCATGACGTATATGCAAATTACAAATGTTGTAGCTGGACAAGGTCGATGAGTTTGAGGGAACACTCTTTTTTCCTTCTTTTATTATTATTATTATATTCTACAAATACTTATAATCCAAAAAATATAACAGTAATTAAAACATACCTAAATTTCAAGATCAATAAAAATATCAAAGTATATAGATACTTAAGTAGCAGAGCCAGGAGCGATTGATTTTGGCAAAGAAGGAATCAAAAGAAAGGGAATTTCATAAAGAAGACAAGTGGTGATTCAGTTTATATTAAGTAAATTAATATTTTTAAATGTGTACTTTACAAATAGTGCGTGTTAAACACACTGTATTTTAGATTATTATATTATTTATAGAAATATTATTAGAGAGAAAGATTGATATCTAATGTGAACTCTCACCTGGGTATCCTAATCTATCTATTTATCTATCAATAAATAGCGTTCTCATCAGCATTAATTATTAAAATTGGAAAAATATTTTTTTTTTTGCAAACTGGTGTGTATTTTGTGTTCATCAAATACAACTTGAGTTATTTGCTATTATATTTTTATTTAAAAAAAAATTAACAGTAAATATAGCAGACAATTTTTCAAGAATATTAGTGAAAATTTTTTTTTTTTTATCTTAAAAAACAAATCGTAACTTTTTTTCATAATGACATTTTTTGAAGAATAAATTACTCTTATTATATATATTTTTTATAAATGATAAAAATGATAGGACAATTTTATTTCAAAACTATTTACCATAATATTATAGGATCTGTACAACATTAAACAATTTTTAATTAACTTCAAATAAGCTAGTTTTATTTAAGGGCTCTATAATGGATAGACTTTCAAAGTAAAACCTATGTTCACAAAAATATAAGTTTAAAGAAAACTGTGAGGTAGTATTTATAAAAAACAAAAAATAATTAAAACTATCTTATTGCATTTTCTAGCTCTCTAATTGTTTTTTACATAAATGGCTAAACTAGCCTTAAAACAATTCTTAATGGTTTACAAATGTTTGGAAACATTAAACTAAACAATAATTATTATTGAACAACATTTATGGAAATATATAATATTAAATGCATTAATTAATAGTAATTTATCACACTAATTTCGTACAAAAAATGTTTATATTTTGATTGTAAATAAATAACATTGCTCGAATGGTGTCAAATTTTTCATGTTATTGTATATTGCCCACAATGGGTAATCTAGGATATGAAAGGCTCAGAGGAGCAGGTAAAGAGGAGATTGGCTTCCGATTGGTGAGTGCCAAGTTCACTTGAAAGATAAACCTAATTTTATCCTCTTGTCATTCTCCATTTGGCTGTGTTCCTCAATCTTTTGTTGCTTGATAGTTAGATAGTAAGTAAAGTCTAAGTTATTTAAATTTTATTGGTAATTAAGGAGCAAAAATCATTTTCAGTTATTAAATTTTGTACCTTATGATGACTTGTGATTTTTTACAAGTTATCGCATGATTAACATATGTTGTAGACGTGAAACTGTGGATTATTCTATTTCTATTTTTAAAAGTGTGGTCATAGGCAAATAATTACAATTTTTAAACAATTATAATTATTATTATTATTAATACAAAAATTAATGCTTTATGAATAAAAAAATTAAAAATAAAACAATACTTTAAACAATTAATTTCGAGATATCAAGCGGATGTTTGGTCCTTTTTTCGTACGTAGGATCATTTCTGGACTAACAATTATGTCTTCATCAGATTCTATTTTGTAATTTAGTACCAAATTAGATACAATGACCTTCATATCTAACATGGCAAATTTCTGACCTGAAAAAAAAAATAAACCATTAAATTAAATGTAAGCTAATTAAAAGTGTTTGTGTAATAATTCTATTTCCACAAATGTTAATATTATACAAACATAATTAAAAATATTGCTTTTTTTATTACTGAATATTTACTGCCTGAAAACCCAATTTCAGCCCAATAGAAATTAATAAATAAATAACCCCTCACCTATACAGTTTCTGGGTCCAGCGGAGAATGGTATGTATGCATATGGATGCTTCTGAGGTTCGAAATACCTGTCAGGGTTGAACTTATCTGGATCTGTGAAAAGATCCTCCCGCCTTTGAAGTGCTAAGATGATTACATCGAGATGTGCTCCCTTGGGTACTGTATATCCACCTATAAGATGATTTTTGAATTCAATGTTCAATTCAATTCAAACATGAATTCAATATTTTAAAATTATATCCTAATAAGTACAAATCATAATGTGAGTAAATTTCAATGGTTTATTCAACAAATGGTTCTACATATTTGTAATAACAATATAGAATTTTATAGAAAAGTCAACTTCATTCTTGGACTACGTTCCTTAAGAATAACAATAAAAACATAAATGAAGATCTTTGTTTTTTGACAATTATAACTTCCTAATATACAATTAATTTATTTGTTGAATTTACATGTTAATGTTTTGGGAAATTTACACCCATCTTCAGAACTTACAATCCCATGTTTTCTTATTGATTCATGGCTAAAAATGAGTTTATTAAAATATAATGCATGTTACAATACATGTTAGAGTTGCGTTGTTACATTAATTTAGTAATATACCTTAAGTCTGATGTGCTCCTTTGTCATGTTTTAAATTTATGTTATAGATAAATTACAGTAAATAATATCCAGAGCATCATAATTCCTATAGACCAATAATTGGGTGACTGCTATGATGGATACTATTGACTTTTGGATATGATTATTTTGTTTTTTACTATTGCTGTTAAATGATTATTTGTTATGTAGCTGTAATTTAATTTTTACTATATTTTAATTTTATTTAATATAGCAGTATAAAGTGTCCCCAAATGTTTAGTCTGTTTTGTAATTAACTGTTGTTCTATTGTTTTTGTGATGTGCATGTATGGTTTCAAGTAATTTTCTATTGTTGTTTTTTTGGTTCTGTGCCTAATATCTGTGGTTTATTGTAACTGAATTTGTATTGTAATTTTATGCTGTGATGTGCTAAAGCTGTGGCGTTTAAGTTTTTTGTATTTTTACAGTTGGTAATGTGTTGTGAAATTCTGGTCCCTTTTTTAATTAAATCCTTTTTAGCAATGAATATATAAGAAAACATGGGATTGTGAGTTCTGAAGATCGGAGTTAATTTCCCGTTACGTTAACATGTAAATTCAACAAATAAATTATTTGTTGTATATTTGGAAGTTATCATTGCCAAAAAACAGAGAATATCATACAGCTTCCCAACAAAAAGAGGAAATAGATAAATGAAGATAAATTTTGACAATAACACCAATTACAAAAGCAGAAATTAAAATAAATACCTAACTACATGCATAATTAAAAAAAAAAAAAGAAAGAAAACAAATAAATTAAAAAGCAAATAAGAATAGATGTAATAAAATCTTTGCTACTTAAATAGAATAATGCAAAAATGGTAAATGAATATCCATTCATAACTAACAAACAAAAAAAAAAAATAAATAAATTGCAACTTATGTTATTTAAAAATGTATAACTGACTAAACATAATTGTTTAGCAAATGTAATAAATAATTAAACATAATACTAAACTCTAACCAAGGGCACTATACACAGTAATATACTAGGTGTGTACCTCCTGTCTGCCTAATGGCGGACCAACCCCATTTTACAATGTGTACAATTGTTCATTTACACAACTATAAAATTAACCAACAATTGTAACCTGAAAAAGTGAATATGGAAAAGGCTTTAATTGACTTGCCATACCTAAAAAAAACACACAGAGATAACAATTACAGAATGCTAATTATCAGTGGTTCAGAGGTGGAAAGGCATAATAATAAAATTGCGAGTAGTTCTGGACTGTGCAGAATTCTTTTCTAAAGCTACTTCCAATGCAGGTTAAATCCAGACAGAACAAAAACAAATATACAATCACGATCAACATCTTCTGGATCATCAACTACAGTTTCATCCTACAAAGATGCCAATGTAAGTAAACAGCATTGCTGAGGATGAGTCATCAGGTATGTCTCATTAATACAATATTGTATTAATTATTTTCAGTAAATCAATAAAGTAACTCTATCTATGGACCTAGCCTATGTCTGGACTTGCAACTCACTAAAAATGGTTACCATTTTCCAGGTTCCCGATTTTTAAAATATTTCAAAGTAACTTACAGGAAGGAAGGACAACATCTTGAGTAGCCTTCCTTGCTACAATTGGCACTGAAGGGTAAAGCCTTATGGTTTCTTTTAAAACTCGCTCCAAGTATGTCATTTTTTGATAATCTTCCATGGTTGGTTCCTGTCCCACTAGAATTCCTGATACTTCACGATATAATTCTTCCTGTGAAAAAACAATACATACCACTCAGAATAAGAATTAATAACAGTTCTATATTTTGAATAAGAATATGATATCAAAAGAAATCAATAGACATAGATTTCATTATTATATAAAAGTTTTGTTGTTTCGATTATAAAATGTTTCTATACTAAGAAGGTACAGTATTGAACATTTAATTAGTATTTATTGTGAATTAGCAACTGAAGATAATGATGTTACTGCACATGATTTATGATGTTACATAGTATTTAAAATGATTTTATAATTAATGACTTTTTAAGTATGTTATCTGAAGTAATTCATGTACCTGAATGTCCTGGTGTAACCCAAGAAGCCAGACTGCAAAAGTCAAAGCCATTGTTGTTGTGTCATGACCCTAATTATAATAATAATAATAATTAAAAAAATATATGTTGCATGAATAAAAAATAAGTAAAATTATATACCTAGATACAAAATAAAGATTTAACAAATTGAAATTAAAGAGGTTCAGAATTACTTATACTGGGATACAAGATACACAAATTTGGAATAAACCTGAAAGTCATGCTATATTTGTCAATCATTGAGTCAAGCATTTAATTTATTTCAATAATCAATGGATAAAATAGAATAACATTTAATAAATAACTATATTTAAATAAAGGAAAAACAATAAAAATAATTGTTTTAAATTTACAATATAGCTTTATGAAAATGAAGTATGAATTCAGTTAATCATTAATTTGCAATACAAGAAATAATAAGACATTGATACATAATAACTATACCTCGAACATAAAAGTCATCACTTCATCCTTAATATCTTTTTCTGTTTGGAAAGCAGGTACATTATCACGCTTCATTTTTAGAAGATATTCTAAGAAAGCAGTTTTTTTCTTTACTCCTAAAAAAAAATATATATATTTTTTTTAAAAATCCTTTAAAATTATAGACAGTCAAAAATATTTTCTAACTGACCAAATGCTTCTTCAGTTGGTGATGAATCGGTTGGAGAATTTTTTTCATTTTCTTTCTTCCTTATCACCTGTAAAACATTTATTGGTAATATAGCTTAATTTTCGAAAATAAAATGTGAGGGGTAGATAGAACTTATAACTGTGCATAGTTTACGAAAAAAATTTTTTATATTTATAATAGAGAGATACTTTTACACCGATTTTTCAAAAGGTTTAGCTATATTTCATTGCTTTAAAAGTGGGTCTTGATAGGAAGATTATGAAAATCACTGTGTTTTCATATGATAATATCGCATATTATGCTAAACTTTTGATAACACCTATTTTTTTCTGCCATGGTATGGCATTTTAAAGTTGCACTGTAATTTTAAATTTTCCTATAAATCATCTTTATTATTTATCTTTTATTATTAAAACGTTTAAACAATAAATTATTCAGTTTTAGTACAATTAATTTATTACCTCAAGTGGTAGGGAGAAGAGAATGTTTAGGAGATGGTCTTCTCTCGTTCGGCGACCAGACATTGTGTAAAGTGGTTCCATTCCAAGTAACGGATTACCTATTTTTTCCATCAATGTAGTAGTCATTCTGTGAAAAAAAATATATATATATTAATTTGATTGTTTATTTTTTATTTTGGTGAAAAAAAATGTCTAAATTTAGCTGATCAAATACAAATACAAAATTGACAAATATTTGTTCATAGGCGAATACTGAGTAAAATGCAGAATCGAATATAATATTTTTAATAAATTGTTGCTATATTAATTAAAATGGAATATAAACCTTTAAGACTTAAGTTTATAATAACCAACTAAAAAATAGTGTATGTTCTCTATTGTTATATGTTTAACTTTAGTGTAAAATCGTGTTTGCTTTTGAAAATCTTTGGGAAATTACAAAAACTAATAAAAGAATAGTAATGAATTAGAGGACATTATTATTTTATTTTATTAAAAAAGAAATTTTACAGTAAATAATATTTTTTTTATGTAAAAAAATTAAATTTCCAACTTCTAAATATCATATAATGTTCTATATTAGTCCTTTATCTATTCATTACACTCATTTTCAGAAAGAAGGGATGCAGATGTTTTAACAAAAATCTTCTTTAAAGAGTATCCCACATGTACTTTAAAAAATTTAAGCGAGTAAAAAATAAAAACAGAAAAAAATTCCTTGTTCATTAATTGACTAGTCTGTCAAAAACAGTTATTTCTGAACATGGTTGTGCATTAAAACTAAAAAAAAAACTATGGTTTGTGATTAAGACCAAACGATATAAGAGAAAACATCAACAAGGAATAATATGAAAAATAAATATTTTTTGTTCTATATTCAATAAGTAATAACTTTTAAAATATATACAATTATAATTGTGTTTAAACAAATCTATCTAGTAAACTTTACTCTGACTGATCATACTTTAGAAATGAAACCATAGGTTTATGATAACTAAAATATGTTATGATAGTATATTTTCACTATTTTCGTTATATTTAATATGACAATATATAGTTAGGAATTCGTTATGGTTTTGACACTATATTCTTTCCTTTTTAACACGGCCTCATATTAATATACAATTTTGAATAATAGCTCACTACAGAGAGGATGAAATGCTGAACATTTCTCTCACTTACAGTATGCAGATCTAATTTTCAGTTTCTGATATATTTTAATCCAAATACAAAAACACTTCAATTAGTCTACTCAAGCTGACTTTATCCAAATGAGCATCATACATCCAAGCCTAGCGGCTCAGTTTTATTATGATTAAATTAAAGTAATATTTAGGATTTCCAAAAAAAATGAAATTCGTAGGATGACTTCTTTATTATTGGAGACTTATAGAAGAGGTTTGGTACCAAGTTCATTATTTATTTATTTTTTAAGAGAAAACTTCTTTAGGCTAGCTTAACACTTAATTTTGTGGGCATTGAATGAGAATCAGCTGTCACGCTCAGCTACATTATGTATTTTTAAATTGTTTTAAATTAAATAATATTTGAATTTTATTTCATTCAATATGTTTCTATATCAGTTGCTTTATTAATAGGCTAAAATTATTTATTCTCATGCGCTTAGTAACATTTTTTTTATTCCTGACAAGTGGCTGAAGCTCCTTTCCAGGTCGGAACCCGGGGGCACTAGCCTTAAAGCACACCCCGTAATTTTTTTTTGCTATCATAGATATATATATATATATATATATATATATATATAATATATATATATATATAATATATATATATATATATATATATATATATATATATTATATATTACATTAGAACCAAACTAGGAAATTTGCCAGAAAAGATAAGCTAAATTTAGTTATATCTTCTTTCATCACATCCTGCCTTCAATAAAAAAAAGTTTGATGATGTATTATATTTTGATATATATATATATATATATATATATATATATATATATATATATATATATATATACCAGAATTTTCTAACATTAACTCATTTTATACACTAAGGTAAGAGAGAAAATACTTTATTAAAAGCATACTTATCAATCCATGCGGACATTAATTTTATATTACATTTTTTCCATTTATATATATATATATATATATATGACATATCTTTCTTTCTTTTTTTTTCCTCCCCTTTCATAACAATATTCTTACCAATCATTAACAATAAACCATATTAAACAATAGACATAGCATAATAAACATTTTTCCCAGATAAATATAAAAAAAACTATTTAAAAGGAAAGTTGATTTTTAAAAATGAACTTATTAATACATTTTTTTTAAATGTATCTGTTTCTGAATTCTATTTATTGAGGAAAGATTCCCTTGAAGATTGCCCACCTCTACTAATTCCATATTTGAATTATATTATTGAACCATTTATTGAAAATTATAGTTTAATTGTCAATGATGAGGATGTTTTATTAATCTACTATGTTTGTCATTATTATTTAACTTGGGTAATTAATATTTTTAGTACAGAAATAGTGAATCTGTGCATAATTTTATTCTAATTTACTATTCTTGACTTCTTACTTCACAACAGATGATGGATATTCTCCTATTGGGTTGGTTTGAGCCTTTATCTCAGTTCCCATAGCGGTTTCTGTAAAATAAGGATTAAACATTAATACTAATCATGGATAGAAATAATACAACAGCGACTAAATGTTACATTAGTTCTTTCAATCTCAGCCTTTGTGGCATTTACTCATGGTATTATAGATACTCATAAGAACATTATAAACACTGCATATACCAAATGGTATGAAATATATTTTAAATTAATAACAAGATACAAAATGAAAATTGTTGGTTATTATCCAAATTGAGCTATAATTAATCAATCCATTAATTTTGTTGAATTGTGGGTTATTTTCCTCTAAACTTTTGTCCTTGTACATTACCCCCACTCAATTTAGCTTGATGGTGTGAACAGATTATAGAGCCTTGGGTTGTAAGCTGTTTTCCTTTTGTGATTGTTACTTGGCTCTAAGCTCCAGGCTGAAGAAAGTATTATTTTTAAATCTGGTATTTTCTATGGATCACAACTATAAGATCATTAATCACAATATTTACCATAAGAATGTCAATAAATGGATTCTTCTGTAAAATTTTAAATACTACAACATTTCTATACGTGATATAACATTTTTAAGTCCAATACACACCACAGAGCTATCGAACAAGCATAATACGTGTAATAATCTGAGGTGTAAATGATACACTGATGGGCTGGTTGACTTCTATTAGGTTTATCATCTAACTGCTAGATGTTAGGTAAAAGTGTATGTGTGGAAGGTTCTTCAGTTTCATTGCCAGCAACATTTCCACCATTTGTTTTTGTATTTCCCTTTCGGACAGTCAGATTTTCTATTTTTACCCTCCGAGTGAACTACATTACTTATATTATTTAAAAATAGATTAAACTGTGGTCAGATTAAGCTTTGAATGATAAAAATTGTGTTAAACAGAGCGGAAACTCTAATTGCTAGAACTATAAAGGGAGGAGGTCAGTGGATTATCCAATTCAACCAAATTTTTGTTTGTTATTAAACATCAGAAAATATTCGACGCAGTATAGGACTTCTGTGGGAATCTTAGGTGGACAAAAGAAAAAAAAAAAAAAAAATATATATATATATACATATTAGACACATGCCCTGTCATTTGTCCCAATTCGCGTTATTTATCACAATTTTTGTGGTATTCCAAAAAAATAGGAAGAATTTATTCTAACCAAATCTTTCAGATAACAAATTTTTATAGTTCAATAACATTTATTTTGTAAATTTTATATGTGCAGTAAGCGGCACTCAATTACTATACTGAATTTTAAAATATTCTTATATGTCTATTTCCTTAAACAATATACGAAGGCATGTTTAAGTAGGCATGCAAGCAGATTCCCTTAGGATGAGTAGGATTGCTTGATTTCTGTAGTCGTTTTTAAAAATCATTATATATATTTTTTAAAATTTAACCTTTTTAGTTTTGAATTATTAACAATTGATCTTAAAAATGATGTAATTTGAAACGAACAAAAATTTGAGAATATTTTAAATACATTAAAAAATTATTCCAGTACGTTGGGCTGAAATTGACGAGATCTCAATGAGTAATTTGAATCATCTACTTAAAAATTGTTTGAGCTGTTCCCTTACATACCTTTTAACAGATAGATTAAATATATTTTATATAATAATATGTTAATGTTTCAGGCCCAAATTGTTCCAAAACACTCACGGAATCTCTTCGAATCATTCGAGTTATCAAATTTTAAAATTGGTCCAGGTGTTCCCTCAAAAAAATCATTACATATCTTTAAGTGGACAACATAAACATATAACCCTCTGTTTGGCTTCACTATAGTTCTATTACTTCAATAAATTATATAAGAATTACAAATATACATTACCCGCAACAGCATCCAAGGCACAATGGGACATGAAATCTGTCAACGGGAAGAATCCCTTGCTGACTTTGTCCTTTAGGATCTTCACCAGAGTATTGGCGCATTTGTTGAATGTCGGCACGAATTCGTCAAGAATTTTGAAATGGAAGGTCGGTGTAATTGCCTTCCTCCTCCTTTGCCACAATTCACCTGCACAACAAAGAGGAGATTGAATTATGAAAAATTTAAATACTATGTTAAATTGATTTAACAATTGAGTTAAATTCTAAAGAGGTAATTGAATCACAGATTATCACAAAATAGTCCAAAGTTATCATAACAATACCATACCCATTGTTATACCAATTGAACTTTATTAATAGGTTACATTGTTATACCCCATACCAATTGAATTTTTGGTAATAGTTTACATGATGCCCGCAGCTTTTTGGGCTGGGGTGGGGGCGCTTATCCTCAATGATAGTTCCTGGTTAGGTTAGATTACCCGCCTAGCAGTTGTTGCCCCCACTACTCTTCTCCTTTCCCCTACTTTTTGAAATTCCCGCGACTACCCACCATCCTGCACTTCAACTTAATTTTTGACAGTATCCAGTTCCTAGTTCCTCTACATACATATTTCTTTGAAAATCCTACCATTCTCCCACCATCATCATTTTCATTTACATTTAATCTTCAACTGTTAGTTGCTATTTCATTTCTGGTGTCAGAAATGATTTTGTTCATGCTTTTGTTCAGTTTCATTGTTAAAAGATATAAATGAAATAATAAATAGTTTAATAATGTTAAAATGTATTGAAAATAAAAAAAACAGCAATGTTTTACTTAAAACAACTACACAATTCTATTAATAAAGACTTTGAAATGGGAGAAACACCTAATAGCTTTTATTTATCCATCATATTCCCTGTTCATAAAGTAGAGGATAAGAATGACACAATGAATTACATGGGCATCAAGTTTGAAAACCCAATAGTTAAATTATTGGCTTACTCATTAATATCCAATAACTAGTTAAAGAATATAGGCAGCATTTAGGAAATATTATTCTATTAAAATCTTACTTATTATAATTATCTTAAATTTGCAGGAGAAAGAAAATAAGGCACATGTTATACTTTGTTTGATATATTTTGCTATCTGCAATTATTATAGAACTAAACATATAGTTCACTACTAGGCATTATATTACAAATTGTAACACAGGAGTATCAATCAAAATTGTTAAAATAATAACGAGCTTAAACCTTAAACAAGCAGTGCAGTCAATAAGGATTGACAGAACTCCTTGAAATATTATTTGGGATACAGTATGGGAATAATGTATATTATTGTAAACATTAAAATTGTATATCACATAATAATATGTTATTATTATTAGGGAATAATTGAATAGGTTATTTTAAAAAATGACACATTTATACCACTTTTGAGTTGAGAGCTGTTCAGGGTGCATTATTCGCAGAAGCATCTTTTAGTAACAGAAAACACATTACATAACTAATGTAAAGATTGATTGTTTATCCATACATTTGTATCTTAAAAATAGCACATTTGTCATTTCACAAATAACCAATTTAATGTTAGTATATTTCTTTTCAGTGGGTACATTAATGATATAGAGGATTGTGTTGCAGGAGGAGTGAATGTCATATCATTAGGATAGTGTGTACTTAAGCCTTCATTGCTTTTATGGCAGATAGACTTCAACTTATGATTATAGATTTATAAAACTAAGAGGACCTAAGTTGCTTCTAGTCACGATGCGATGGTGGGAAAATACTTTCTCAGGGTTGCTCCTTTTGGAGTTGTCAACCACCCCCAGTTCTACTCTTCTACTGTATCCTCCCAGATAATCCTTTTCCAACTCCTACGATCTTCTTCTATTTTCACTTGGAGATACTATGGACACCGTCCTGTACGATCTGGTGACTTGAAGCAGAGCCATTTTGACTCCAGGCAGGGGCTACTCAAAATAAAACCTTTATAAATGCTCACAGTTTCTAGGCATCTGAGACCCCAAAAGGTGCCCTCTATACAACTGAATCTGTTAAGGGCTATGGTCACTCTACTTTTCAAATAGTCCAAATAAGCTATCACTTCGAACTTTTTTCGAATCTTAATGCTGAGGTAGGTGACAACCTCACTCGGAGGTATTGTTGATCTTTGATCATTGCATAACAATCATTTAAAGAAATTCTTCAACAAATCATAATTTATCTCTTTAAAAACTTATCAGGAAAATTCACTTAAATACAAGGATTTTTCTTTAGTAAACTACATGAGCCATTGAATACTAAAATGGTGTAAGTAAAAAACTGAAGTTTTGAATTAATCAAATATTATGGAGAAATTCAACAAATTAATAATAAATAAATTCAATTTATTTGTTAAAAATAATCTGTCTCTAGCATATCCAATCAGTTAATGCACTTAATACTTAATTAATTATTTATTATAAAAATTACTTACACCACTTTTGTAACCAGTGCTTCTATGTTACAGTTTCAATTCATAAAAATTGTTGTATTCTTAATTTACGTGTAAAGTCTTCACAGAAAACTTAATAGAATTAAGAAATATGGAAATTAGAAATTACCATATTACAAAAATTAACCAAGAACACATAAATTTAGAAAAACTCTTGAATCTACACAAACTATAAAGAATATTTTTAAAAATTAGTGCTTTACTTCTTAATAAATAAAAATTCTACTTTATTAAATGGAATAAATACCATGGGTCATTCCTTTCCATATCATACAAGGGTGGGTCAGGACACCCAGTACAGTTTTTAATGAAAATTTTATATTTAGGAAGCGAATACACACATAAGAAAAAAGTGTCAAATTTTACCTACTTATAATAAGCAGTTTCATATTTGAAAGTAAGAGATTCGAACTTTTTTGGAAACAAATTTGAGCTGGAACTAGCATGTTTGCATCTTTGCTTCTCTAAGTAAAGTAGTATTTATTGAACTAAATTCTTGAAAATGTATTCATTTGTTCTAACATGTTTGGAGAATTGGATGATACCAAGATTAAGATTTTCCTAGCCTATAATTATTTTTTGATATAAAAAATGAAAATAATTTCAAAGTTGAAATACATGATTGGAAAAATATCTTTATCTAAAGTCTATGCAGATTATTAAAGATGAATGAGGTTCTATTGAAATTTTTTCTGTATGCCCTCCTCTCTAGAAAAATAACCAAAATTATCCTTATCTTTTTCCCGTAATATTTTTTCTCAACTCTCTCATTCATTACGCTAGTTCAATTAGTAAAATATATTAATTAGTTCAAACTTTCCCTGTATATCTATTTAAGGGGTGCCCATCCCCTCCAAGGTCGATGGCGTATGAACCATCCCCCTCTCTCCAAAAATTGTATTTCACTCCCCTTCTTAAAAGCAATGCAAGCGAAAGTAAGATTAGACAATTCCAAGATCATATACAATTATACCTGGAGTGGTATGTCCCATGTTTCTTCCCAATTCTCTGTTTTGAAACTTTTCACTCAAAAATTCAAAATCCAGTCAACATGTGCCTCCTTAAAAATTTTGATGGCACAACTTGTGGCATGAAACTCCCTTCTGGGCACCCCTGTTAAGGGACACAGGCAGACTAAGAAATAAGGGTTGTAAAAGCAACATCATTATTTACTTTTAAGGTTCTTTCTGTGGTGTAAGAATAGATTATAGAAAGAATAATGATCCAAAGTTTGTTCAATGTAAACAACAAATTCTCTGAAGTATATTTTGTGCTCCACAGCAAAATGAAACTAGTGAATAGAGAAATGAGATGTTTGAAATTACTGTAATTTTTCAGATACGGAAAACCTAACTAAGCCCAAATGAAAAATTGAGAGTTAAATTCCAAATGATATTGGTTATACCACTTCTTTACATATGGCAACTCAATTTTTCAAGTTTTAGTGACTATTTTACCTTAATTTTTCTTCATAAAAGGGATTTTTTTTTTCGGTCTTGATCTTGCAAAGTGCATGACCAAGACTGATTTTGGACAACACCAACTATTATAAATCCACTATTATTACAAATTTAAATAGTTCAAAATTTGATCCTCGATCAACAGATTCATTTCTGATCATTGATATAAAATATTTTTTATGAAATGGTTTACCTCTTACCATAATGTAGATATTGCATATTGCATCTAAAATAGAAAAAGTTGTTCATTTTACTTTTAAGCCTGGTGGTAGGAGAGTATTTGTTTCAGAGTGGTATAACTTAGTTTTTGTATAATTTGAAAATTTCTATTTACCAATATCAGTACACCTGTTATCATTGAAATGGATTAATAATCATAATATGATAAATTGTAATAATGTTTGTCACACCTGAATTTTCCATTAGTCCAGAATATAAGCTTTCCCTAGTTTAATTTATTTTTCAAACTTTTTTGGGAAATTAGAGGGTTTTGGCTATAATATATTTTCAATTTTATCACACTAGATATACCAAGTAAAAATAACTAGTAGTGAAACATAAAACTGTAAGGATAAAATACAATCAATTATCAATTGATTGAAAAAATATCCAAATTAACTTGAAATAGAAAACATTTTTAATCAACAAAGGAATATAAAAAACAATAGATAAAACAGAGAATATTTATTTATTTACAAAGGAATTTCAATTTATAAATGCTGCACATATACATTTACTGATTTACTGCTAAAAATAGACATATGAGGGAAATTATTTTTACCAATTGAATTTATCCTAAGTCTAAATACAATAAACCCCTTAAGAATACTATCTTTAATAATGTGACAATTAATTATGTGTTCTTCATCAACAGAACTCATTTTGGTAATAAAGGAAGAAGATGGTCCGTGGTTGCTGTCATAAATAGGCTAAATAGTGGTAAAACTATTTTATTGAAAGCCGACGTTTCGACCCGACTTTGCAAGTTTTCTTCAGGGCTACGGTTACTGACTAGTCCAACTAAAGTTCTATAGTATTCAGTTCCTGTAGTTGGACTAGTCAGTAACCGTAGCCCTGAAGAAGACCTGCAAAGTCGGGTCGAAACGTCGGCTTTCAATAAAATAGTTTTACCACTATTTAGCCTATTTATGACAGCAACCACGGACCATCTTCTTCCTTCATAATGCAACGGTCAACTATTAAATATTCATTTTGGTAATTATTTACAAGATGGCCGGAGGAGTACCACTTGTAAATAATTACCCTCATTTTTCTCTATGTAAAATCCTCTTAAATCACCTCTTGCTGAGTTGATTTGGGCTCATATAGGTTTCCAAAATGACTTAATCCTTTAATTTGTTACTTTCTTTTATTGATTTTCCTTTGTAATTCAATAGTTATGAAGGAAAAAGATTAAAATGAAGTTTGAAACTTGGTTATAGAAGATATTTCTATAGGTTGAGACTATTAACTAATACAATTTTTATTTTGAAGTCTGTGATTTCAGATATAATATTGAAATTTGGTTTTCCTTATTGGTTATTGTTACTTTCAATATTAAAAATATGAGTGTAGTTGATGATCCTTAAATGATAAAAAAAACATCTTGAATAAACATTAATAGTTTTAGGATTTCAACAAGAAAAATAATAATTTCATTTCAGAACTTTTGCAGTACAACAATCTATTTCTAAAAATCAGTCATGATGAGTATCATATCATTTATTCTGGCATAAAAGAAAACTACTTTTAGTTACTAGAGATCTCAATAAAGCTAAGGATCATCAACTATACTCATATTTTAATGATGAAAGTAATCATAACTATAAAGGAAAACCAAATTTCAATTTTATACTAGAAACTACCGACTTCAAGATAAAAATTGTGTTAGCTAGTAGCCTCGAACTATAGACACTAGCTTCTTATAACCAAGTTACACACTTGATTTCCATCTTTTTCTTTCATTACCACTGAATTAAAAAGGAAAATTAATAAAATAAAGTAAAGAATTAAAGTATACTCACGATTTTGTCTATGAAGAAGAAACCAAAATAATCACTTTAAACACTAATATGTATAACTATTAAATAAAAAGTACCTATTAGTAAACTAAATATATTACTAAAACAACATAATTAAACTTTTAAACAAAATATCACTAATAAAATAAGAGTCTGTGAAGATGAAACCTATGATTGAACATTAAACCAAAACTACCACTTTAAACACTAAAACGTATAAATATCCAATAAAAAACTACCTATTAATAAACTAAACATATCACTTAAACAACAAAATTAAGCTTCTAAACTAAAATACTGCCAATAAAATATGAAAAATTAACAGTTTTGAGGTGCCTATGGAGGAAAAAGTGGTGGGGGATTGAGATAGCCTAACATAACTGTAACCTAAATGTAAACAATCCTCTAGAATAAGCGCCCCCACTCCTCCACAAAAGGCTGCGGGCATCATCGGAATTATTACCGAATTTTTATCTACAAAGTTTATTAATGAATTATATTATTTATGTAAATAATTTTGTAAATAGCTTAGTTTTTAAGAAGTTATCGCATAAATTTTAATTTTAATATTTAGGTTTATATATATATATACATATTTTTTTTTTTTTTTTTTTATTTTCTCTAACACTTATCATGATGGATCTGGATAAGAACACATCATGTGAAGATACGGAAGATGAGACACCCTTTTCGGAAATTAGCGAGACCGACTCGCAATATTTGAAAAGGCGTACACTCCAAAAGCGTCTCCGAAACTCAGTTCCCGGATCGGGACAAAACTCACCTAATAAAAAAAAAAAGAAAAAGAAATGAAATAAGCAACCAGAACAAGATAAATCTCCACCGAGAACTAGGAGCAAATCTAATGCCACTCAATCAGAGCCAACTGCACCAAAAACATCAGAAAGCAAAAACTCAATTCAAGAAAACAACCTATCTCACAAGACTCCGCAGCTTCAAGATTTTTCTGATCCTGAGCCGCCGCCAATATTTGTTTCAAAAATTAAGAACTTTATGTCGTTTGGTCAACAAATTGGAGATTTGATCGGACAGCCAAATTTTCGATGTTACTCGAGCGTGAACGACATCAAAATCAATACTAATTCTAGAGACAATTATAAAAAACTAATCAATTTTTTAACAACCAATAACTACGACTTCCACTGTTACCAATTAAAACAAGAAAAGGCGTATCGAGTGGTCCTGAGAGGACTACGTTCAACCACACCCATATCTGCTATCAAATCGGGCCTCGAAGAAATCGGCCATAATGTCAGGCACATAGCACCTGTACTACATCCTAGAGAAAGATATCCGCTACCATTATTTTTTATAGACTTGGAACCAGCAAAAACCAATGTTGAAATATTCCAGGTTCAACGATTGGTTTACTCAATAGTCCGTTTCGAGGAACCGAAACAGAAGCCTCTAATTGTACAATGCACTAAGTGTCAAAACTTGGGCCATACAAAGGCCTATTGTTATCACGAAGTCAGATGCGTTAAATGTGCCGGCCTACACACTTCAGACACTTGCCAGAAGCCAAGAGATGAGCCTGCGACGTGTGCTCTTTGTGGCGAAGCCCATCCTGCGAGCTACAGAGGATGTGAAGTGTATAAACATCTTTACAAACAAAGATCTCGAAACTCAGCGGTGAAAAATCTTGGATCTGCTCAGAAAACTTACACTGAGGCACCTGAAATTGAAAATCAGGAAATTTTCCCAGCATTCCGACTTCACCTTCCCTCGTCGTCCAACAACAACCATCCATCTCTACAGCTAAGGACTCACCTCACCAGAATCTCAGAAATTCTCACTTCCAGTCTTCCATCAGTAAGAAGCAACCTCAACGTCAGGCGCCTCAGGCCTTCCAATCCAAGGCCAAAATCCCTAATCCTCAGCCTCAACCTCCTCGCCAGCAAATCCCTTCTCATCATTTACCCTTAAGAGTCAAACTCCCGCCAAAGCATCCACATCCAGCTCCATTCGTTCCTAATCCCAGGATGAACCCCCCTCCACAAGTCCAACAGAATTTAGATCCTCCTCCTCGTACCCCACGACGGGCCCATCCCCCGCCCAACATTCCTAGTCGCATAACCTACCCATCACAACCTCCTGATCCAAACCCACTTCCCAACCAAACACCATCCGACATCAACACTATCTTATCGTCATTCCTGATAGATCTTCAACAGACTATCAAACCGCTCATAACCCTTCTAACCAGACTCCTTTCCGAAATCCCGCTTAGCTTCCCTCGATGAACACAAAGTCCCTAGTTATTCTCTTATGGAACGCTAATGGACTGCAAAACCACCGTGACGAACTAGACATATTTCAAAGGACTGTTAATATCTTAATCCTATTCAATACTTACCAACATTTAATGTTTAGGGAACCCATCAAAATTCATATTTAAATTTAATTTGAATTAAATCAAGAAACCACAACCCAGCTGTTATCTCGAACATACTGCATATATACCTCAGTTGTTATTTTGACGCCGCCATTATTGAAGCATAGACGCTCACGTAGCGTGAGAGATTTACCAGATTGGCCAGTTTAAAAATTTGTAATTCCACTGGTGTACTAAACATGGAGTAAAAAACTACAGCGGCCGGGCAAGGGGCCAAGAAAGGAAGAGAGAGAAGATGAACAAGAAGACTGGCAACTAGAAGAAAAGAGAAAAGGCAAGTATCCCAACCCACCTATAATTAACCTCTGTATAAAATAAAGCAATCAATTTTACATCTTCACTCTTTTAATCCATTAGCTTCTCTAATTTTACAATCCACAGCAATAAATTATTACCAGCTCTTAAAGCAAAATTATTATGACAATATCTCTGACAGCCTTGGAAGGGATTGGCATAGTAAAATAAACAAATACCTTCAGAGCATTTCCTAAGCTTGTTTAAAACCATTCGACATTTAAAAAAAACAAAAACCTTAGTTTAGTTATTTGTTTTAAAGAATAAACATGACTGTGTCCTACAAAATTCTCGTAATTTTAAAGTATCATTGAAAAAAAAAATCACAGCCGCACTGCACGGAGCTGGTTTGAAACAATTAGCAGTGGAGATATGACGTTAGAAAGGAAGAAGGGCTCTGGTCGACCATCAATGGATATTGATGAGGTTTTGCAGGAAGCTGTTGAGTCAAAAGATACTGTTAGTCGTCATCTAATTTCCTTTCAGAAGACGAAAAAGAACAGTAGATTGGTCCATCGCGAACTTATCCTCAGTAATCAGCTATGAGGTTAGAAACTTGTGAAGAAAAGTTTAAAGAACTTCATGAGTTTGAACTTCTTCCTTATCCACCATATAATCCATACCTGACACCATCGGATTACTATTTATTTAGATTCATGAACCATTTCCTTCGAGAGAAATAATTTAATAATTTTGCAGTCCAAGAGTTCTGTGATAGCCTTCCCAAAGAATGGTATCAGCGTGGGATCGAGCAATTAGCTGGTAGATGGCTAATGACGGTAGATAACAATGGACTATACTTTGAGTATTAATTGTATTTTATAACAAAGAAATAATAATACAATTATTTGGTTGGAAAACGAATTTTTTTTTATACACCCTATTATTCATCGCGATACAGGCCAATGATAGATCAGGTTCATATCATTTCTTTTTTGCCCATATTCTTTTCATTTTTTCTCTCATCTCCCTCCTTTTCTCCGCCCATTTCTTACTTTCTTGCTTCTTTTTCTCCTCTACAAGAAGCTATATATATATATATATATATATATATATATATATATATATAGATATATATATATATATATATATATATATATATATATATATATATATATAACTACAAGTAAAAAAAAATAATATTTCTAACCTGTACTGACAAGGAGTCCACTTCCCAGCCAAGACTCCAATGTGTAGTATGCTTCAGATTTAGTAATTAATGTTTGACTGCTTAGCAGCATCTGGAAATTAACGAAAGTGAATAATTAATAAATAGTGGAAACTGATTCAATAGGAAACAGTTGAAAAATCGATGTTTAGAATTGGGAAGAGGGAATACAAAAATCCATTAAAAACTATGTTACATGGTGCCTTAGAATATCTGGACGAACAAATCCGAGAACTCAGTAGACTAGGTATTATCAATTAACAGGGGAAGTTTATATATATATATTTAAGTATTTAATTAATGCTTATTTTAAATTATATTGTATTTGACTACTGTTGCCCTATAAGCAGTGCTAACCTACAATGTCGTTAGGAAAGGGCTGGGTAGTCTAAACCCAATTCGATAAAAAAATGAACACCTATTTCAAAAAAATAGGTACTTATATTCGAAAAAATGTATAACTATTTCGAAACAATACATGCTCATATTTGAAAAAGTATACTTTTATTTAAAAAAAACGCTGCAAATTATTTCTCAATAGTTTATTGTTTCCAAAAAATTATACATATAAAGTAATATTACTTTTCTAGTAATAAAGGAAAAGAAATAAAAGATGATACCAATTATTGGATTAAATATTTTTTTTTCATCATTAGTAATTTGCTAAAAAAATACCATTACTTCAGTAACACATTCCAAAATCAAAATACAAAACAAAGAACTTTATAAACTTTGCAGTAGAATATATAAAAAACATCTAGAGACCATATCTATGCACCAAGTAGTCAGATTTTGACGAAATTTTTTTTTTCATAAACTTTTAAATAACCATAAAATATCAACAAAAAATATACTTTTTGAGCTATATGGAATCTAATTTTACCACCCCTCGTAACTTTTTTTTCAACTTCTTTTCGTTGAAGTATGTTATGTAGATAAATTTAAAGGGCATCAAGAAGAAGACTTTAGCGAAGTTTCATTGAAATCGGTACATTCGTTTAGGCGCTACAGTCTTTAGCAACACAGGTTTTTCGGCCGCCATCTTGAAAAGAAAAGGCAGATAGTAATGTCGATGAAGGAGCATCATTCTCGGGTGACCTCTGACTTTAAATCCAAATTTGAAAAAAAATCAGTCCAGTAGTTTCGAAAAAATGAACGTACGGCGAACGGACAAAAAAATTTTAATTGTTTTTCGAATTCTACTTATCCTGAAACGTAAAATCTCAAATTTCGAGTGGGATTTAAATTTTGAATTTTTTGTTCGATTACAATGGTTCATTATTGAAAATAATAAACCAAAATGTATACATTAAGTTGCTTTTGCAAGAAATATATTGACGGTTGAAAATGAAATCCTCGTAACTACATAACTATAGTCAAGGAGTAAACACATTTGTATTTTTTTTTTTTTAATAATGTATTTTAGGTGTTTTTGTTGAATTCTGAAAAATAAATTATTTGTATGCTATTTGCTGAAATGAATCAATCACAAAATATTTTCATAGGATAAGTTATTAGTCAACAGATTCTGAATCTCCTGTTAATGATGAATATAAAAATCATTTATCTCTCCTCCAGTTTTCTATAAAGAAGTATAGAAACAAAATGCGGAGGAACAGACACAAGAGAAATTCAAACGAATTTTATGGTCCAAAATTGATATATTTTCCAGCTCACTACACTATCGTGTATTTTGTTTTTTCTTCATTTAATAGTAGTCTGGCTTGCTTTGCTTGTCTTTGCGAATTTATCTGGCTTAATGATAGTCGTATAAGTAATAGATAATTATAATTTATTCGATATATAGCATCATACAATACATTTTCATTTTTACAACTAATTAAGTATTAAATATATTTTATTTATTGTTAAAAAATTAACAATAATAATAACGGTTGTTTTAATCGACATGGTTTTAGTATATACCGATTTATAAGGCCGGACAGGTTATAAAACATTCTTTTTTTCTAGATATCATGCCCAAAATAAAGTTTTCCAGAATTTTTACCATTTTTATGTTTTTTTCCGACCACTCTGCGAAGGCTCACTGCTTACCCAATAATGCCTTAATAAAATTAAAAATATTTTCTGAAAACATTATCACTAACAGTTCGGAAGATTAAAAAAAAAAAAATAAACGAAGCAAATAACAGAAAAATAAGAAGTGGTAGCTATTTTATGAAAGAATAGATGCTGTTTATTTATGTTCGGAAATACCAGTAAACCTACCTCTTAACAAACAGTAAACAACTTTTAAAAGCAAGACAATAAATTTGTTTTCTGATAAAAGGACAAAAATATTTTCTTTTTGTTAAAATGAAAAGCAAGATGGAAGGACAACCTTTGAATAGCAACAAGCGGAAGTCGCGTTTAACTTATTGACCATTAATTACTGCTTAGCATTCTAAGATCGGGAGAATATTTTTTCTGATTATCATTGAGCAAACATTTCTCTATAATCTGGCAATTGTTAAAAAATAAATAAATAATAGCTAAACCATCTATGTTGAATGATCTGCGTTTTAAGTCTGACAACCGGTTGCAATTACATGCTAATTTTTGAAAATATGTACGAGCAAAAGAAAAGTGAATAAGGAAAACATATAAAATTACGTATTCTATTGGATACCTTTAAAACATTTTTTTTTTATTATATAAGACGTTGCCAATAATAATGCGGTCATCATAATCGTAGAAAGTGAGTATTTAATTATAAGAGATTGAATTTTTGTGCATTACAATTCGATTTTTTTTGTCGTACAATGATTCGATATTAAAAAAAATAAACTATCATGTGTGTATCTTTGCTAATAATAACCTGATTTCAATTATTTTTATTTCTGTACCCCGGAGGTACAGGGAGCCAATATTCTACAGCTTTGAGTTATTAAAATTTGTTTCTTCGTTACTAAATTACTTAATAAAAACATGGACATGCTGTCCTTTACCTCCTGGGTAAAGATTTATCGTTTTGAATAGAATATTATCATGGATATAATACCATGAATTGGATTATTTTTTAATTATGTGTAATTAACTTTTCAAAGATTTATAAATTAATTGCATTGAAATCTATTACTTTAGGAGGAGGGAGTGGCTTCTGAAGTTCACCCTCCCTCCTCCCATAAAAAACAAAAATTAATTTTTTTATGTTCTTCTGAATGACCTCAGTCAAAAATCATTGTAGCTACAATAAGTTCGCCTCATCAAATATTGTAAAAATCACATTTTTTTTTATTTCCTGAAGGAGGTATGTCTATTCTCTGACTCATAGTTTAAAACCCTCAAAATTAAATTCTGGGTCTACTGTTGGTAAGAAATAATTTCTTTAACGAAAATGAGTTTTGTGGTTACCAAAAGATCTTTCAGTACTAGCTAAAGTATCTCTATGTTTTTTATACAATTATACAACTGTACTATAGCAAACTGTATTATATATTCACTATGTAATGTATTAAATTATCCATACCAAAGAAATAAATCAATCTATTTTCAAGTCAAAGAACAATTCTTAAACAAATAAATAAATACATAATTAATGAAACGTTAGACCAAAAGTACAAAATAAGTATTAAATACATGTAAGTATGAAATAGTTGAATTATTATTAACTTACTTGAATATCTTCGGGCTCTGTAATAAATATATGGAGTTGTGGACCGAGCCAAAATCGAAAGGTTCTTCCATACTTATTCATGCAATACTTCCAATCATCTAGAGCTTCTGAAAATAGCAAATAAAACCATTTGAAATAAAACATCTGAAAACTCCAAATACAATAATATATATTATTTTTTATAAAGAATTTATGTATCTATTAAAAAAAGCAATAACTGGTATCGCGTTATACAATTATCTCATTGCTTCATAACAGTAATTCCAAGATAATAAAAAGAGAAAAAGTAACGAATAAGGTCTCAAAAACAGAAAAACGAAGTAGGAAAGAAACAAATGAAGTTATAATAAATATATTTATTTATCATTAAACTATCAGCTATAACTACTCTTAATATAATAATACTAGTTGGCCCGTGTGAATAATTCGCAAAAAATTTCGTTTAGTGAAGAAATAGAAAAACAATATGGAAATAAATAGTTTCTATTTATTATGTAAGGAAGGATATTTTTTTCTTGGTCGATAACAATATTCCATTAAACATAATAAACAAAAATATTTGTACAAATTGTTTTGCTAAGACCTATTTTTAAACGCTGACTGGAAAGATAATACAAGTAATAAAGACAAAATAATACCCCGATCATGGGATTTTCTAAATTATTAAAAAAAATAAAATGTCAGAACAACCAAATGTCTTTAAGAAATAATAAAGTTAATATATGAGGCAGAAAAAAAAGTGTAGTAGACTATTCTACTCCTAAATGCAATATCTTTAAAGTGGAAGACGTTATTAAGTATACCAAAACTAATGGATTGTATCTTTGTCAATAATTGTCCGATTTTTACGATTTTTTTTTAGTTTTGTAGGTAATTTAGTAATATTTCTAATTATCATGGGTACAAGATGGGTACAAAAAATGCATACTTTTTGAGTTATTCGCAAATAAAATTTTTTTCTTCTTCATAACTTTTTCCTCGGAAATTTCGGAGGGATAGGACTATTTTCCGCATGTGAAGGAGAATATCTTCAAAATGAGTGGTCAATCATTGGATTTGATGAAGAATTCACGAAGTTATGGCGTACCGACAAAAAACATCTTTTAGAAATAATATATAGGATATAGAATTTTCCGAGATTATATTACTTCATGTTGTAATGGAGGATTGTGATTGTTACCATATTGAAAATTCAATTTCACTTAATTTTCATGCGTTAAATCATTATCACCATTGACATTTGTATCACTTTTCAAACCTTTCCGACAACATTTGCCTAAAATAGGGCTAATCTATTATTCCACTCGGATAATACAACAGTCTTCGTCCATAAAAACACCTCAATATCGCATCTTTAAGCGATGGCACAACCAATGATGGATAAAACATATTTTATCGAAACAAACACGCAACTTTTACCCGCTCATGTTATATAAGCCTACCGTACCTATATAATAACATATTTTTCATAGACAACTTCGCTTCATTATAGACAAAAGATACAGAACCGGCTTTATGTAGGGTTTCAATTTAGAAGAACTATTAAACCAGAAAACAAGAGAGGAAAAAAAAATAGAATCGAACACAACAAATATATGAACTACAATTTTATAACTCTACTTTTGTACCGCTTTTTAAAAAGAGGAGAGCAATTAAATTTCTAGGGAAGGGTTAGGGAGCAGACATGCGCCTCGTTTGAACCTCGAGCCTGGGCGCATGCCGGATGGGCTCTGTTAAATGAGTTTCTGTATAAAATTTAATGATCCTTGATTCCATAAAGTTTTTTTACATTTCGATAAAATAAGTTTCAAAATGGAGACTGACTTATGCCGAAGATGTTGAAGTTGAAGATATTGCCAACTAATGGGTAAGGCGTTGGGCCTGGGATCTTGTTGCCCATCTCCCTCAGTCTCTTCTCCGGCGTCAGCAGCCACCAGATCATGAAGGCACCCAGTGCCAGTGTTATCAGGATCACAAACATTCTTTCTGAAAAAAAAAAATAGTCATTATAAATTTCAATTAAAATTACAAATAAATAATAAAAACTTTTCAAGTACCGAAAGTCTAAAGGAAACATCATGTGTGAAATAAATGGCATACTCTAATGGGTTGAACAAATGTCAAATAAACATAGATTGTATTAAAATCGAAAATCTAAATGAAAGTTACCTCTGCATTGAAAATATAAATAATTAACGATAAATATAACGACCAATCTTCTGGTGTGAACAGTCATAAGAGTATTTAAGTTAGGAAATAATTATTAGTACTTGTATGGGTATCGCCCATAGGGAAATCCTAGCTGTCTAAGATTTTTAGTTCGATTTCTCCCTCTTAGGGTATGTGAAATCCGTCAGACTACTGGAGGCAACTCATACCGACAGGCATAGAAGTGAGGACCCTTAAAGAAGGACACTGCCAAGTTGAACCAAAAGATTGGATAATGTACTAAAAGTAACCAACCACTGCACCATGGAAAAAATGACTCTTTTTGAGAATAAGAAATGAAATAGTATTTTAGTTGATGGCGGCCGAAAAACCTGTATCACTACAACGTCCAAACTAACGTACCTATTTTAATTAAACAAGGTCTTCCCCTTGAAACTCTTTAAATTTTTATATATATATAACATATTTCATCGAAAAGTACTTTTTTAGATTTAGACCGAATTTTAGAGATTTAGATGAAACTTGGCTAAAGTCTCCTCCTTCGAAGCCCTTTAATCTATTTAACATTAATACCGAAAAGAGGCTGAAAAAAAAATAACGAAGAGTAGTAAAATTAGATTTTCGAATAATTTAAAAAGTATACAAGTTTTGTATTTGTTTATTGGAATTTAAAATATTACGCAATTATATATTATAATATAAATTATGAATTATATACGCAAATATCTAAAAACAATATGGAAAGAATCGTTGAATCCGGATGATTTGATGCAAAAATATTTTGTTCTAAATATTTTCCAAACGTTCTCCTGCAAATCTAATATACTCTCTTTTTATTTTTGGAATGTCTTACATCACCTGAAGACTCCGAGATTATTATCGGCTCTTAGCCAATTACTAATGATGATAATTAAAAAAAAATGTTGGGACTATAATAGGAATTACCTTGTATTTATCGCCCTCTATGTGAAAAGGAAAGTAGTGTTCCATATGATATATAACTGTTTGGAAACAACAAATCATTGTGTAATCATTTTAAGCGTTTTTAGATGACTTGTTCTTTTGGAATTTAGCATAACAAGAGAATTCCAAAGTTTCTAGAATCTATACGAGTTGCATGATAGTAAGCTTGCCAATCTTATATCCTGTTTGAAAAGTATTTTCGGCAAAGAGGTAGAAAGTATCCCGTCTCCACTCTCACAGCCGAATTGCAAATGAGTCACGTCATGCTAAAAAAGGTTTTGTCAACTCTTGCTCAAAATGTACGCAGGTAACATTCATTACTGTAATTAGCACCTTTCCTTATTTTATAGAGATCATTTAACAATTTTATAAAATATTTCTTCTTGATTTTTCCAACAATGCTTACAAGGATTTTCACATGAAAACAACATAGCTAAATGAGAACATCAAAGATTAAAATTTACAAACATGAAGTTCATATCACAGACGGATCTACGGGGGGAGGGGGAGGAGAGAGGCTTGCGGGCTGAAGCCCTCTCAAAATGGTAAAATATAACCACGTTTTATCAAAAACATTATCTCTAAAAGTATTATTCTTCGTTTAATTATATTTAATAGGACCTAAAGAATCACCTAAATTAAAATATACATACAAACAAAATCTATCAGGCTCAAGTCCCCCAAAACAAAATCCTGGATATGTTACTGGTTCATATTGATAAATAACTAATGGAAACGAAGAAGTTATGTGATATTAATCTCTGCTCCAATAGGTCTTATGGTTTTCTAATTTCAAACCTAATAACAAGTTGTAAATAATTGTTTCAACTGTTGAAGGGATCTTTATTTATTAAAATGATCTGAAAATTAGATCGTTCCATTAGGCAACGATGTGTCATATCACAGTTTATACCTAATTTTTTAACATTTTTTTTATTCAATTACGTTCCACATTCTAATTTCATGATTCCCTGAAGATAGTAGATTACTTACTTAATCCAGTCCTCTGTTACCGCTGAGCAGTGTGAGGTTCCTTCTTATAGAGCCTAATCAACGAATCTCTATCCTGTGCCAGCTGTCTTCTCCTACTCCAGTCCATTCCTCTCCTATTAAAGGCTTCTTTAACTCCTTCTTCCCATCTTTTTCTTGGTCTTCCCTATGGCCTCCTTCCCTCCACTTTGACCTCGTAGGTAGCCCTGGAAATCCTGTTTTCAGCCATTCGCGAGATATGTCAAAACCACCTAAGTTGGTTTTCTTGGATTATCTCCTCTGCAGGCCTCAGGTCGAGATTACCTCATATGGTCACATTCCTAACGCGATCTCTTCTTGTTTTCCCCTCTATTTTCTTTAGATAGCGCATTTCCACAGCTTGGATTTGGCTTTTGTGCTTGGCAGTGAGGGTCCAAGACTCGCTTGCGTATGTCAATATAGGGAGGAAAGTATTCTTAAAGACAATTTTCTTAGTGGTCTTTGAGACTTCCTTTTTGTCCAAGAAGCCTGACTTGAGGGAGTAAAAGCATCTTCCTGCCGACTTAATTCTCTCTTTAATGTCTCCATCCACCCATCCGAACTCGTTAAGGTGAGCGCCCAGGTATTTAAAATCCTTAACTTCTTCCAGGCGGATTCCACCCAGCCGAATGATCCGGTCTCCTCTTCTCCCAATCCTCATGAATTTTATTTTATAGATGTTAATTTCCATGTTTATATTTCTCATCTCAGCTTGAAGGATCTTGAGGTTAAACTGCAGATTACGGCGGTCATTTCCGAACACCACCATATCGTCAGCAAAAGCAAGCACTGTATACTGGACGCTCTGTAGGTTCCTATATCCGAGGAAGATAGTAGATTATAAATCAAAATAAACGGAACGAATAATCTAGCACAGGCCACTCACTTTTCTGCTTCAATGTAATATCAATATCAACACTTTTCTTGATACATCATACGTTTTTAATTCTTAAGACCACAGGCGGATTTACGGGGGGAGGGAGCTTTCGGGCTGAAGTCCCCTCCCCCCAAAACGGTAAAATATAACCATGTTTTATAAAAAAAAATACTAAAAACTATCTCTTACAGTGTTATTGTTCGTGTAATTACATTTAATAGGACTTCAAGAATCATTTAAACACCATTTCATATAGGTAGTTCATTTTTTTATCTTTTTTTTTTTTAAATTAATTATAGTTATATATATATATATATATATATATATATATATATATATATATATATATATAAAAAAAATCTTTCGGGCTGAAGCCCTCCCCAAAATTAAATCCTGGATCCGCTAATGCTTAATACAGGGGTAATTCTAGGTTCTATGAAATGAATTATCAATTTTAAACAAATAAATGCAAATTGAAATACTATATTGAGAGTGATGTTTAGAATATAATCGTCTCAGTAAAATATATGTATAAACAAAATAATTTAAAAATCTGTTTTCATAAATAAAGATTTCACAGCTATCAATATAGTCCGTGGTACAGACACATTTTAATCGAATTATTAACATCCGCCTGAAACTTCGTAAATAGTTTCATCTCATCCTAACCCAAAACTATTAAATTTAAGAAAACTCTTGGTATTGGGGCGTTTTCAATCTGAAGGTCGGCAAACTTTGTCTATTTAATTAGGTATTAAAAACTCGTAAATATACATTTGCTTCCTACTTGGATCGTAAGATAATTTGATAACAAAATCGAGAAAAAAAATGACCTTCAAAAATATTGAGCCGTTTGGCATAATCTACACCACCAAAATTCCAAAATAACGAGGAAATTACACAGAAAAAACGGCCCAATATTATTGTGCCCAATATTCATTGATTTTGTGATAAAATTATGTTACGATCCAAGCAGAAAGCAAATGTGTATTTACGTGTTTTTAGTACCTAATTAAATAGACAAAGTTTGTTCCCCTCCAGATTGAAAAGGCTCCAATTCAAAGAATTTTCTTAAATAAAATATTTGTAGGTTACGATGAGATGAAACTATTTAAGAAGTTTCAAGAGAATGCCATTAATTCGATTAAAAGGGGTCTGTACCACGGACTATATAGACAAAATTTGTCAAATCCAGTGTATAATTGCACAAACGTAATACAAACTTTCTGTTTTGTTCTATTTATAATGATTTTTATTTTAGGTAATAAAATATTTGTAGGTTACGATGAGATGAAACTATTTAAGAAGTTTCAAGAGAATGCCATTAATTCGATTAAAAGGGGTCTGTACCACGGACTATATAGACAAAATTTGTCAAATCCAGTGTATAATTGCACAAACGTAATACAAACTTTCCGTTTTGTTCTATTTATAAAGATTTTTATTTTAGGTAATAAAACATTGTGCTAATTTTACATACATTGAATTAGCATATAGCAAACAGCCTCAGTGACTAATATAAAATACTACGTTCAATATTTATTCATATTCCATAAATTGCTTTATATATTATTCACCTAATGTCCTGCTAATAGTATGTATTGCATATAGTCAATAATAATGCAATAATTGATATGCAGATGGTTTAATAATCAGCTGAAGACATGAAAGGATTCTTATTGCAGACGTCATAGATAAACAAGGTCGATCTCTCCCATGGCGGCACGACCATCACCACAGCCTCTTGAATATATATAACTTGATAAGCCCGCATTGAACGACAAATAATAGGATCGAATGCATTTAACAATAGAAGACGCCATATAAGGATTAAGCAGGATATTATGGATCTTGACACGATTTTTTTGATATGCAAATCTAAGGCCAACTACTGTCCATTGTTAATAATGAAACGAGAAAAACGTTAACAATATATGATTAGCTGGTGCAGTGGCGGATTCAGAAATTT